CCCCCCCCATCCCCATCCGGTAAAAGCATGTTTTTACCTTACAAGGTGATGGGGTCGGTGGGAAATACTTGAGTGCATTTTCGGGCTGCAGAACTCCCTACAACAAAAAAGTCGTCGATAGATTGTATTGGCTTAACCCTGATGGACAATCTTTCCCTCCCCCCCTCCCCCCCCTTCCCCTCCAAATTAGGAGAGATTGCTACATAGGTCGTGTCGTCATGACCGATCGTCTGGTTGACGGATTCGCTCTCTGGGGCGATCGCCGCAGTGGTTCGCCCTCTTCTCCTCTCAGGAACACTCATGGTCCCATTTGCACAACTTCCCCTCCAACAAATTACGAATCCCCCTGCTCAACGGGATGAATTGAAGGACTAGGTTTTGGTTGTTTTAGGCTTTCTTATTTTTATTTTTATTTTTTTTTTCTTTCTACAAAAAAGGACTATTATTCTAAGACCTTTCTCTCGTGTCTTGAACGGCTGTTGTGAGTCCCATCTATCAGTCTAGTCCGTTCTTGGCCATTAAGACCAAGAATGGACGGTACTATTGGATACCAAAGCCAAAAAATCCGATAGCCTGGCGGAGCATGTGGCTTTCGCAGATGATGAGTGGTTGCCTGTCAATGTAAGGTAATGCTATCTTAATGGGGTTATCGTTTTGAGTCAAGAATTGTTGCCCGTTAACAGTCGCCGATCTCACCAACCTTCGGTCGAGGCTGGTCGGACTGGGTGATTTCCATGGTCACCGTGCGGCTGATGCCAGAACGATGCCTGGAACAGGCAATATGATTGGGTAATCGGGGACGGATATAATATCATCATGAGTAGTATATCTCGAATGTACTACTACTACACGACAAGGTACGAGGCCTTGCCTCCTTTGTCGGGCAAAGATAAATAAAATAAAATAGATGCAATGAAAAAGCGTATGGCCGACAAGCTCTGCCTCGATGTTGTTTGTTATCTTCATTGATAATCGAGTTACAGTACAAGAAAATCACATGCCTTGGCAGTAAGAAATGAAACGTATTGTATGGTGAATGTTACTTCCAGCCCCGTGGGTAACTTTTAGGGAACTGCGGCTGTGCAGCATTTCCCGTGAGGCGGTTACCGTCTCCACTGCCGTCGTTTCAGAATTTGAGAGTGTCTGGGTCGCACGAACGAGACATGAAGGAATGTACGCTTATCCTTCTCCCCTGAGTGGACAATGAATTGAGAGTCATGATGCTATCGATTGACAGGCCTTTCCTCCATCTTCATTGCTAACATCATCGCACCTTTTCTTCTGGAGCCCGGTATCACGCAACATTCCCTGATTGCATGCAAGCAGTAAAATCAGCATCGACGTCAACAACCTTATCAACCTAACGTAACTACAAACTTGGCCCCTGTGACGATACTTACTCAGTACCAATTACCGTTCCTTTTCAGGCTCTTTGATGGCAGCTGCACCCCGGGATTGGGCGATGGCTGGTGTGATCCTTTGCGACCACGCATATGTTATGTACGTATACTCCGTCGAGTGCATACATTCCAGCTGTCTTCGCGCCTTGATCGCTCGAAAGAGTTAGTTAGCTGCAGGGCTTGGTCTCCTGCGAGGAAAGCCAGCCGAGCGTGCCGTAGTACTAGTAGGACTACTATCTAGGTAAAACGTATGTGCATCCATACATACATCCTGTGCCTGCAATTGGCAGCTCATCCACGGACACGACAGCCCGGAGTACTGTGTCCCCTTCTGAGGCATTTTCAGACAGTTATCTCCGATAACTGCAGTCTCCGTTTTCGTTTCTTTTTCTTGTAAACAATGATTATTTTGCATATTATTGAAACGCCCCTTAATCTTTTCAGGACATAGCTCCCTCCACACATGCATTTCGAAAACGACGTCACTCCATTCCCCGCTCCATGACAGATACGTACCTAGGAAATAAAGCTGGAGACGCTTGTTAGTTACTTTGTTGGGTTATATCAACTATACCCAGAGTGTACAGCGTTAAACCTTTTTTTTAAAAAAAAAATAAATAAATAAATAAAAAATAGATTTGAAACTGAATTTGAAAATAAGTGTGGTAAAAAGAAATCATCCTTCTTATACCATTTAATCTTTTAACTAGTATAATTATTCTTTAGTACTCCGTACAGCGTTCCCTAAAGCATCACAACCCCTCCATGCCCATGTCACCTGATGACCAGCTGCAATGCACTGTTCCTGGTGCCGGAGGGGAACAAAATGGTCGCTTTTCTTCTGTTGTCTTAGCACTCATCGCACTGACATCACATCTCGGATGCTTAAAGCACAGACACCCCGCACTCTATGCATGTTTCTTTATTTGTGCCCATTCGGGCGCTGCGCTACGACAGAACATATTGTACACGCATGTTGACTCCGCACATTCAATACTGAACGTTCTCACAATCTTCTTCTCCCCTTTTTACTTATTTTTTATTTTTTTATTTTTTTTAGGCCCCCCTCATTTCTCTTCAATTTCATTTTTCCTATTATCTTATCGTGATTAAAAAACATGATGCGACAATTGTCTCGTCACCCTAATCAACATCCCGTCCTGAGTGACTTAGGTCTGCCCTTTACATCTCGACTGGTCAATAATCAATCACCAGACGCAGTGGGCACCGCAAGTAGTAGGACTTGTCGCTTCTGGCGCCTGCACAATGTTGTAATAACGCGTGGGCATGCGGACCGCTCCTAAGTTGGCGGCAATGCATGAGGCCGAAATAGTCAATTCGCAGACTCCTTCGTTCCAGCTAGCTTGAATTTGACGAGGTGGGCAAGCCATCCATTCATCAAATACCATACCATACCTACATCGGACAAGGGCGATCGAGTTGCCGAGAGGTCGGGGTTGCATTTTCCCTGATTCATAGCAATAGCTCCTGCGAGAGGACATTGCACTGACATTATTGCCTATATTTACCCCCTTCTCCGTGTGGTGGCCGGACAGGTGGCCGATGATCGATGATAGATAATAGATCTCCCAGCTCTTGTCCGATTTGGACGGGGAGGGAACTACGTACAAAATCTCGCAATCTCCTCACCCAGAACCGCTAAGTAAGTCAAAATTAAACAGAGAATTTATGAGCCCAAATTAGACCAGCTTGATGGAAAGTTCAACTGTAGTTTGTTCCTGTCAGTGTTCTGGTTCTCTCCCCTTGCGAGATTGTGTTCAAAATGACCTACAACGACGTCATGGGAGACTGACGGGGTTCCACCAACCGTTCTGTCATATCAATCAATATGTTGCTGTTTTGCTACCCTATCTCTTTGTAACCATGTTTCTGGCTTCTCCCTTACTATTCCAGATGGAGGAGATATGATATCAATGATTATGGGTAAAAAAAAGAAAGAAATTCTGAATGATTCGATCTCTTTAACTGATTGCGGTTGAATTGCTTTCGGCAGACACGGGACTGGGTAAGGTAATGATTACATACTGTACATCTCCAATAACATAAAATCAACAGAAGTAACTGCCCCGCCACCCCGCCCTAGAGCTGTTGACCGAAACCACCGCCTTGTAATAATAATCCAACAAACCTCTTTCTTCATTTTTCTTTCTTTCTTAGTCTCCGTCTCTTCACATCCGCTAATCTTCATAATAGTCATCATGGCAAGCCAATCTCCCAATCTGTACAGCTTTTCCAATTCGGATGCGCTTGCGCAACAGTTGAGGACATACGTCCTGAAGAATCAAAACGCCGCCCTCGCCCGGCATAACACTTTCCGAGTCGCAGTCTCCGGTGGCTCCCTGCCCACTGTTCTAGCCAAGGCTCTCCTTGCGCAAGGCAACGGAACCCCCGAAGACACCGCGCAGTTCTCCAAGTGGGATATCTTCTTTGCCGACGAGCGCGCCGTGCCCCTCGATCACCAAGACAGCAACTACAAATTACTGAAGGATGAATTGCTGAGCAAGATCCCCACAGAACTGGGTGAGCCCCGTGTGCACACCATCGATCCCCACCACGTGAACGACAAGGACCCCCAGGAGCTCGCAGACTTGTATCAGGAGGAACTGATGCGCATTTTCGCGGCCAAGGACAGCGTCAAATTGCCCGTGTTCGATTTGATCCTTCTGGGCTGTGGTCCCGATGGTCACACCTGCAGCCTGTTCCCCGGTCATGAGCTCCTTAGGGAGAAGGACGCTTGGGTCGCGGCCATTAGCGACTCGCCGAAGCCCCCACCAAAGCGTATCACCCTCACCCTGCCCGTGGTCACTCACGCTGTTAGCATCGCATTTGTGGCTACCGGTGGTGGAAAGAAGGACATCATGAAGCAAATTTTCGATGCTGAGGAGGGAAGGGAGCTCCCTTCTTCTCTTGTCAACCAAGGTGCTGGTGAGAAGGTCAGCTGGTTCACTGACCACCCTGCTGTGGAGGGTGTCTCTTTCCCGAGACGTGGAAGCTTGTAATGGGCACATGGGGCATTGTGACGGTTTGTCGAGTCGAAGAGGGTCGAAGTTGAACTCTTAAGTGAAGGAAAGGGAGGAAAGTCCGAGGCTATCTGCAACCGGGAATCCTTTGAATCGCTTGGTCTGAGTCCATGTACGCCTGCTGAACAAGATGGCGATGGCCTAACATGGGTATATCCGTGTTTGCGGGACTGAGTTGCTTAGGCCGTTATCCACGTTGTCAGTCAAAAGTTTGTGTTATCTGTACTTTTTGATATCACAGACAGTTCGAGTTGAATGAAGTAATTATGATGCCATACACGAGTATTAATAAAAAGTTGAAACGCTTAACACTCATTGATGACGTTCTCGTATAACTTGTGAAGTGAAATTCCACTGGAACCTTCCATTGGAAATTTATACCACAGCCTTGATATGCTTAGATCTTTGTGGTTTCCGGTCTGTTCCCAATGATTAAATGAGTCGACTGTTCTAGAAAAGTATAGAGTATAAACCACAAACAAGGACACTTGATTATTATTGGCTTGTGGATTCAAATATATATAGATACAGGTAATAATATAAAATGATTGATAGTATGACTATATTGAAGTATAGAGTAGAAGTTAATGTATTACTTATCTCTAATAGCAGTAAACTTATTCTTTATATCTGCACAAATACATCAACCAGAAAGGTATCTGCTCGCAGTCATATAGTAGTTCATTGGTCCTGTTCTCCATTGGGAAAGCACTCGGATGCCAAGCTTTTTTGAACTGGCACTGGAGCTCACCGCAGCACAAGGAACTTAAACTTGGAACTGGAGATGATTGTTCATACTATTGACATAAATAAACTCCGCCTGTGGATTGAAACTGGATTTGGGACCTCTCTTCTCACCCCACGGATCTGATCAGAATAACTGACTGAATGCATGTATGATCTGATGAATGACTTTGATCCCTAGTCACAATGCCAATACCCACTCGCTCCCTGTCGCTTCGGGAGCCCCGTAAACAGGTTAGTTCTTGTACCTCCCTTGCCTCAAGCTCCCCAGAGATGAGAGCTGTTCATCGCACGCCGTTTCCCCAGCTGATGTATTCTAACAATAAAAAATAAGTCCACTACACTAGGTCGCTCAGCCTCGATCAGGACAGTATCGACCAGCACAAAGGCAGCGGCGGGCGGTGCGCCCTCGAATCCTGCGACCAGTAACGAAAATGTCTCGACTCGAAGCAAAAGCTTGTTGCCAGTCCGCGATGACAGCCGGTCGGCGAGTCCATTGCGACCTCAGCCGCAACAGGATGGCCGGATTTCGCAGCGAGCGAGCAAGCCCGAACAAGACAAGCTATCCGCTACACCCACTCTTGCGAGTCGTCGTCGAAGTCTGATTAAACCGACTCCACTGAAGACCACTCCTTCTCCTGCGAAGCCTACTGCTGTGTCTACAACACCGAGACGAACTAGTTTTGCGCCTCCCCCACCCTCTCCAGCCAAGCAAAATGGGCGTCCAACATCGCCGAAGAAGACAGAAATGCCTCCCCCGCCTCGGCCGTCGAGGTCGGCTTCTTTGCGACAGCCAGCAAGTTCGAGTTCGGGGCCTCCTACACCAAGAGGCCATACGCGACACCGCAGTCAAGTGATCCCTCCCGCTTCTAGTCAAGTCTCTAGGAAGACAGATCCGCCATCGGCACCCAGTACACCACGTTCCAGGACCCAATTTTCGACCTACCAGCAACAACCCTCACCCAAGAAACTCGCCAAGCCTTCCATCGCTGCCCCATCAGCTAGTGCATCTATGGAGCTAGACCCCTCCTTGATACCCTCCTCCTCGCCAGAAGTTGCCGTGTTACAAACCGAACTCTTACAGCTGAGCCTTCTGCATCTGTCTTCACTGCGGGAGGACGCCGAATGGAAAGCCAACGCAGAGAAACAACTACGGATCAAGTACGATACGGTCGCAGAAAAGTATCGCTGCGTTGTGAAAGAGGAAAAGGAATATCAGCAGCGACTTAATGGACAAGCGTTGCACTGCTGGCTCAAGAACACCATTGAACATAACGGCCACCAAGGGTTTGGAGTACAAATCCGAGTCCTTTCAGAGGTTGCGCAAGAAGTCTGCGATTTGTCCGATATTTCAGGAGGGAGATTTACGTTGGCCGTGCAGGAATTTGAATCCTGGTTCCGAAAGGTTGAGGAGATAAAGACCTGTCGACATTACCAGGGAGGATCGGACCTTGATGTTTTTATCGACCCTCTCGATCGCGTCTGGAAGGAAGAAGCGCACGCTGTGACTATGAAACTTGAATTATGCTCGAGACAACTGCAGAGTCTGGATATAATGGGCTATGGGGAGGTAGAACAGTTGGAAGGCTCCAGCCTTTATCGAATCGCAAAGGGACTAGATGATATGGTGAATTCGATGACCGAGGAGTTGAACACCATCCGTAAGATTGAAGTGGACGTCGTAAGATCGGAAAGACAGTGGGTTAGTCAGCTCAGCCAGCAGGTGGCCTCCACGAGACCGCTGGAGAAGAGGATTCCCCGAGTTGGAATGTGGAGATCATAGCCTGGAAGAGACACCCTCATGGCAATGTGATTGATCAGTCACATAAGGTCAATCCGCGACGTCCTGGCTCGGAGCATAGCCCGAGGTTTTCATTCCTTTTTATTATTTTTTTTTCTTAGTCTGCGAAACTATACTCCACCATGAGCAGCTATACCCAGACGTTGAAAACACCAGCAGATCAAGGAGATACCCGGTGGAAGTTTAACGAAAACAACAGGAATCTTCTACGGCATAGAAGTCGAACCAGGGGCACATTACTCAGGGACGACTGAAAAGATCGATATAGAGCCATCCACTTTCTAAACTGAGGATGTGTCATTGAAAGGATGGGAAAACAAGCTTGTTGCTGGTGGTCCTGGTTTTGTGAGACCCCGGATGGTCTTGGAAACTGGTTTCTAACCCGCATTGACCCTTCCACGCAAACTTGATTGAGTGATACATACAGTGGACAGTCGATATGACATGACTTGTTATTCTTGGATTCCCTCGGCGGCATGTTAGTGACAGAGGGTTAGACTTGTGGGGGTTTTACGAGCTGTCTCCCTTTGTCTTCTTTTCCCCCTCCCCCTTCACACTTTCTGGTTTTAATCCCAACCTGCCAGCATCAGGGTGTCGGACTCGTGGACCGTCTTGATGTCTCCACCATTTCTAACCGGTCGCGGAAGCACGCCGGGACGGAAATACTACGCTTGAGATGATAGGCAGACTGGGATCCTGCTCGGCGACCAAAGTGGAAGTCACTTTGGCACGGAGTGCTTTTTGACCATGAGATGCTTGCGATGACTTATGAATAATAAATGAAAAGATGATTAATAGCGCTCCCGATAGTTCATTCCCGCGGTCTACCACTGCGGTTAGAAAAATAATCATATATACTCGGCCACGATTGATGGAGAGAGAGACGTTTTGCTTCAATGGTCCTAAAACGATGACTAAACCGTTTTCTGAAGATGGTTTTGTTGTCGTCATTAGTTTCAAAGTGTAACGTACCTGTATCCGACTATCGGCCGGACCTAAAAATCTGTGTTTTCTTACATCAACTGTCGCTACCATCTTAGTTGCAGGAATGTCTTGGAGCGGGAGCTGTCAATGATATGTTTCTCAGGTATATAAAAAGAACCTCTAGAATGGGTCTACCGATGAACACTTGTTCTGACTTTGACTTTTCTTTTTCTTTTCTTATTTTCTTTCTCAGTACGGCCGAAGCTGGTCCAGATTAAGCAAGGCTTGGCGTCCCCATGACGAACCAAACAATGATCTTTCAATGACTTCAAGCCGATGTAGTAGTGTGGACAACCTAGCTAAAAGGAACCCGTTTGAATACTACTATCAGCCCCCTCGACAGGTTGCTCATTGGATGCTCGCCCAGGGTTAAGACGTGGACGCGCTCTCTGTCACAGACTAAGGGCCCTGGAACCATAACCATTCAATATATCCTCGCCAATTCAATCTAGTCTCGACCAACCCGCCCAACGGTGGTTCTGGAACTGTGGAGCTTTTCCTTTTTTTCCCCCTCAATATTATCTATGACATTCCATTGCCTCTTACTTTTTCTCTTTCTCTCTCCACCTAGCGCCAGGACTAACACCGGAGTTAGTTTCTTTCTCCGCTGATCATCCTACTCTGTTACAATTTTATCAGATGCAGTTTACTCTCACCTCCCGCGGACTTTAAATGAGAATTCCTCCTTTCACTCCACCTTTGCGCGTCGCTTAAATACTCTACCAACCGAGGCCGATCTCATCGCCAATTCCCTGTTCATTATCAAGAGGTTGACATCGTCTAGGCCTTTTATGAACCTCCGCTGACGATTCTTAACGTTCGGTCCGTGACGACTTACGCTCGATATCGCTTCACGGAACGCAACAGACTGAGCGTCACCAAACTAGACGCTGACGTCACCGCAGCAGCTGTTGCCGTCCGAAATCTGTCGCGCGCAATGATCACAACACAAACAGAGTGAACACCGAGTGTCCCTTGACTATCGCCGCCATAATGAAGAACTCACCGTATGATCGCCTCTGGCGCCGGGAAATAGGGGAGCCGTCGCGCCGTGCTAGTATTCGCGGGATCTACGGATCTAAGGAATGGATAGACGATCTAGACATTGTTAACGAGTTGGGTGGACACACAGGCTGTGTTAATGCGCTATGGTACGTTTGAGACTAACTCATTATTGATGGTGCAGTGTTCTTTTCATGTTTTCTGGTTTCTGCGTCTGATAACTTTTTGCAGTTGGTCGCGGTCTGGCCAACTTCTCGCCTCAGGATCTGACGACCATTACGTGAATATCTATTCCTACCAACCCGAGTCGTCATCGGCGCCCTTTTCGCTGAATACCACTCTCCATACCGGTCACAAGGCGAACATATTCTCCGTCAAGTTCATGCCACATTCGAATGATCGTACCTTGGTAACATGCGCTGGTGACCATCAGGTTCGGGTCTTTGACATCGAATACTCTAGCAGTAATGGTAATCTTGAGGCTACATCTGCATTTACTGCGTCCGCCCGAAGTCGGCGCTTCAACAATTTCTACACAAATACCCGGTTCATGACTGCAGAGAATACCAATAGCCGTGTCTATCGTAGCCATGCAGATCGTGTTAAACGTATTGTCACTGAGTCGTCCCCGTATCTATTCCTTACATGCTCCGAGGATGGTGAGGTACGACAATGGGATTTACGTCAGCCTTCCTCCGCGTATCCTAAGCCATTAGGTGGGCAAGGCCCTATGGCCTATCGGCCGGGGGTGGTGCATGATGATTCGAATGTTCCCCCGCCGCTGATATCCTACAAACGGCATCACCTTGATCTCAACACCATATCGTGCTCTCCTACTCAACCCCATTATATTGCGCTGGGCGGCGCTCATCTTCACTGTTTCCTTCATGATAGGCGTATGCTGGGCCGAGACTTGCTCATGGAGCGAGGGGACCCAGGCGGCTCTCCTCGGATCGGTAGTGATCGCGAGGACGAGCTGATAAGTCACGCGACAAGATGTGTTCGAAGATTCGCACCCAATGGCAAGCGCCGGATGAAACCGCGGGACAACGGACACATCACTGCCTGTAAGATCAGTGATTTCAACCCGAACGAGATGGTGGTTAGCTGGTCGGGCGATCACATTTACAGTTTTGATCTAATCCAAAGCCCTGATGCCAGAGAAGCCGAATCAACACACGAAAGGTCCACCCAAGGAACCCAGTCTCCGCGTAAGCGACGGAGCTCAAAGAATAGAAAGCGGAAACGTCGAAATGGCGCCTCGATATCATCTTCCGAATTTAGCGGTAATCGGGATCAGCCTCGTCGGCGGTCCCACGAACAATCAGAAGACGACGAACCAATGATTCGCGCACGGTATGGGAACGGCGAAACAGGGGATGTCCCGCTATCAGCGGTCTCAGCGCCTACTTCTGGTTCGTCAAGGCGTGCAAGGAAGCAGGCAAGGTATCCTGTGCTGAACGAAGCGCAAAGACTTAGCATGCGTATTGCCAGAGCTCTAGTTAAGCTCCGCAAGGCTTTGTTCTCACTAGAAGCTACCGTACGAGAAGCAGGTGAATCGTCGAGCCAGCTAGACCCGACCCTTTATGTTGATTCATTCTCAACGACGCTAACACTAGCTTCGGAATATCTTCCAATGATGGAGGAAATCATGCGAACGTGGGGATACCCTCTCAATCCTTCTGCTGATGTGGTCAGGTTTCAGCAGGCTCTTCGTCGAAACAGGGAGACATCCTGGAGATTTGTTCAAGCCGCAGGAGCGTTAGCACGCGTCCTGGGAGGCGAGCTCCGCGGAGACTTACCTCCTAACATATCTTTCATGCAAATCATGCCTGCGCCTGGTGAGGGCAAAACTATTCCTCCAGAGGAGCAGTTCGGCTATGATTTCATAAAGGCCATACTGCTGTTTTTGGAAGGAGGTAGAGAGGCCCTCATTTCAGGCTTCAAGAGTAGTAATGAACATCGGCGGAGTGCGTCACGGTACCCTTTGTCCGATGAAGCTGATGAAAGTGCCATTGAATCGGAGTTAGTACCTTATCTTCAAAGACTCGCGGGAGACACACCTGTTGTGAACGTTGATGCCTCGAGATTCGAACACGATAGCACACGCGTACTCTTCCCGAATCAACACGCAGCAGTGACAGCTTTTGCAAACGTTGTGAAAATCCCACTTGAAGACTTAGAGGACGCCGCTGCAAGAATCAATGACTGTGAGGGCCATTCTGATAGCTCCCACATCCGCTCTCTTGATCGAACAGCTGTACGGCGGTTCTGGGGCTTAAAGGTCGCTCGTGGTATTTTGATGGAGGCAGGTTCGGGAGTGAATTATTCATTTGCTAATCGCGCCTTCGGTGGGTTGCGTACAGTAGTAGAAGATGAATCTGGATCCGAAGGCGAAGCGGGCCCGGAAAGGTCGCAAGCTGACATACAACCCGACATTGGAGAGTATCAAATCTTCCAACATCTCCACATGTTGTCTGCTATGAATTCTACCGAAGAAGCTCTGAATTTAGACGGCGGAGGATCTGAGGCTACTTCTAGGTCTGTATCTTATGTTATTCGCACTCCATCGACTGATGCTGATAGCGAGACAAGTGATGAAAGTGATTCTGAGGGTGATGGAAGTGGATCTGATGTGGCTGTGGAGGAAGTGGGAGATGACGGCGAAAACGAGGAGGATAGCAGCGATGACGACGATGACGACGATGACGAGTTTGATATCGATGGCAGTTCTGAAGGAGGCTATGATAGTGATGAGATGCTGGAGCCTGAAGAGCGCATGCTCCGCCTCAACGGTTTGCGAACATCTCGAAGGGAGGATGCGGGACTCGACGTGCCGTGCTCCTCGCATACCAAAGTCTATCGTGGACATTGCAATGTTAAAACAGTCAAAGATGTCAATTTCTTTGGCTTGAATGACGAATACGTGGTGAGTGGCAGCGACATGGGGCATCTGTTCATCTGGGACCGGAAGACGTGTGACTTGGTCAATATCCTGGAAGGTGATACTGAAGTCGTCAACGTTGTACAAGGTAAATTTAACTCTAGTTTGCTTAATCGAGCTTCTCCACTGATATTTTACTCCCAGGCCATCCATACGAACCGACCATTGCGGCTTCTGGCATAGACAGTACTATCAAGATCTTCTCAGCCGACAGAAATGCCCAGGAGAACGCTCGCCGCGGCATCAACATTCTGAACCCCGAGAACCCAGCTAACGTGCTAGGTCCGAGTGTCTCGAACATCGGCGGGCTCAAGAGCTGCAAGCGCATGCACGATAGCTACCAGATCATGAGTCAGAATGATGTCGAACGTCAAGGCGGTATGGCCGATGCATCCCTCACGGTAAGTCTGCTTAGTTCACATCTTCCACAACGTTGAACAAGTCAATAACTTCTGACAATGTAATTATAGAGAGAAATGCTCTCCCGGATTGCGGTAAGCATCCGGCATGGTGGAGGACAAGGAATTGTCGTGGATGAGAACTGCAACGTAAGTTTTACACCATCTTCAGCATCCCCTAGAGAAAAGAGGTGGTAAAACGCCCCAATAAGCTCATCACATATATCTAACGATATGGTCATAGATGATGTGAAAAATCAATTATCTTACAAAAAGTACTCTTATGCCAAAGGGGTACAGTTCGTGCACGAAAATTGGGGGTTCCTTTCTATATTAGTAACTTAATTTGATAGACCTTTATTGGGACACTGACCGCTTTACCAGACTATCATATAGTATTTCTGTAGAAATTGGTCAGGTCTTGCTCTTTCTACCCATGGGTGGTTCGAAGTCGGCCCTGTCTGCCATAGGCCCTCTGAGGATGTTCGTGTTGGAATACTTGATTAGGCACCGATGTCCTACTTTCAACTAGTACCGGGTACGCCGGGCAGGCTTAGACATAATCATAGAGGGTGTAGGGGCGATGGTCTTGTTGTGTCGATGAGTTCATTCCTCGTCCAAATTCTACTTTGTTTGACCAAGCTAAACAGCCAGGGATCCTATCCTTGACAGTTCTCGGTCGAAAGATGATTCCCCCACCCACCCACAGCGGTGGTCACTGAGCCTACCCAAGAAAACGCTACACTGGCCTAGCCCATTCTACCATTCCACCAATCTGGATGCTATGCTTGGGGTAGTGGACCCCAGAGGCCAAAAGTACTTCAGGCGCCTTCTTTAGAACATTTACCTGTCACAACCCACGCATGTACTGTTAAGGTTTCATTCGATCGTGAGAGTATTCATCACAACAAGGCATTGGCCTTGATGAGTAGTTCGCGTCGTGGTTACCGGCCTGCTCTTGATGTTACTGTTACTGGGGGTGTGGATTTATATTTCGTGAGAATCTTAGCAGGTTCTGTTCTTCTTTTGGGTGGATGCACTAATTCCTGTTAGATTGCTCTTATTGCGATTATTGCTTCGGATAGCGTCTTCGGTTCTGATTGGGACTGAGGTGAGTTACCGGTGTCTTGCTTTGGCGGAATTTTGAGGCTGTGTGAATGTCACTCTAGTAATAATGATCGATGAGAATATTGGTCTATGTATAATGTTAATAATAGAGAATGGCTGTACTAATTTTTTTTGGCCCTCGCCCTGTTCTGGCTGGTGAGCTGAACCTTCTTTTAAGTATAAGAGATCTAGCTTGGTGGAGCAAGGGATTAGGCAGTTCACTCGTCATCTGAAATGGATCATAGACAGCGTTCATAAATCGGTAAAGGGACCAGAAAACATGCAACAGGATCATGTCTTTCGGTCTTGGTTGATGAGATTAATGTGCAGTTGAGTAGGGTCGGGCATGTATTGAATTGTTCGACGTTTTGTTTTGTTGATGACCCTTGGATGTAGGTTGTTGTTTGTTATTCGGTATGTTAATGTGACTAGTAATAATACCGAAAAACAGCCTGCTTTTGGAGATACATTCAGAAGTCAAGTCTTATAATTCTTTTACCCGATCAATGAAACTACTGCTAGTCCTCAAAAGCTGACCAGAGGTCATGACGAGGTTTTTATTTGGCCAAACACCTATATAGATTCAAAATGTACAGGGAGAAGAATAAATCCCCGACATGATGGTTTCCCATTAATCCTCTATCATGTAAATTGGAAAAGCGATTCTGCCCGTTCAGACAAAGGCTTTGTATTCTAAGATCTTATAAGAACTGAATCGAGTATCTCTATGATCAAAATACATTCAGTCAGTCGAAGGTATGAATGTGCGAGAGACCTAGGTATACGATAGATTTAGGAGAGCCGCACTAAATGAGGCATTTGCATTGAAAAGCAATCTACCGATTCACAGTCCATATCAAAACCCAACCAAGACAAACAAACTGCAATACCTTGCCTTCGGAGGCACAGCCTGTCCAAGACCGAAACCAAGACCATGAAAGTTTGGATCATCTATACTTCAATGCATTTTCAGAATCAGGTCTTAGGATAAGCCAGTCAAGTCAAGCGATGCATTCATGAGCTCTATGCAAGGTCATAACGGTGGAGCTAAACTATTTGCAATAAGCTGAAAATCCCAATTTCTGGCGATTTATTGTCCTATTATATTGATAGGAATTTCATTTTCCGAGTTATGTAGTGGAGCAAGGTTCCTAGAATGGATACAATGCTGGGGTACATCTATTATGAGAGGCTAGTTGGGTTTGGTTGTAATGCCTTATACCATAACCGCATCCTGAGCATGGGGATACTTCCCCTAGCACAGCCATCTTCATGGCTTCTTGTATTTGTTGTATGTGTTTCTTATATCTTGTCTATTGATGCTTGTGTGAAAGATTAAATGTACATACAAGCTAGAAACTCTATCTTCCCCTCTCGAAGATTCTTGACCCTAGATTGAAACTAGCTCTGGTAAGTTCCTACAGGCTTGCGAGGTAATGTTGATATATCATAAACACACCTTAAACTATTGGATTGCCTTACAGTCTTTATGACTCGCAGAGACATTCTCCAGGGGCTGGGTGGAGTACTATAGATTAAGTAGTTTGAAATTGCCCTTGCATATTAGGGCTTATCTCATCGGGATTGTGATGTACATCCTTATTTAACTCCTCCGACCATACATGAACACAACAAATCGAGACTGATTTCCGAAATACAGCGATACAATGACCTGATATAGGTCTATCAGAGCTTGTAATTGATTTTTGATCATAGTTTACCCCAGTTCGCTGGAGTTCAAGCCGGCTTGTTGAGAACATTCGATGATATGGTCACTCCAAACAGAGAACGTTTTTGGCTCCATGCTACTCCGTACACGTTCATAAATAAGTAAGGAGAGAAAGTAAAGCGAGAGTGATACGTCAGTGCTACTACATCATGGATGTTTTGCCGGTCGATAATTGTACCTCAACCTTACATATCACAGTGGCGATTAACCTAACTTTATCGTCTTTCTCGGAAATGCAGAGCTCCACCGGCGAATAAATCATAACTCGAGACAGTGTTACTTGCTTGAGCTATTTCCTACGGCGAGGAGAGCTTAAAGTTGTTCATGCGCTGATATTGCATTACTCGTGCATATGTCCCTTGCTGGTGTTTGTGTGGCTGGTTTCAAGTGTGCACTTGCACTTTAGTGTGCCACCAGAAGGCTGAAAATGATAGAGATATGTTGAATTGGGAGATACTGCGCTTTTTAGCATACCGTAGGTCATATCAACCACCGGATATTCATAATAGGGGCATAGTGTATCCTGAGATATGTCACCAAAAGGATCTAGTAATGAAAAAGTTAGCTACCTTTCGCCCCAGATGTCCTTTGTAAGGGGTTATATAGAGTGTAGTAGAGATATCACAATTTGCAATAACCCGGACTGGCTGTGCTGAATCTCTGGAATGGCGGTCCTGACATGTGGTAACCGAGGAACCCACCAATATCAGAAGATGGAGGAATTTACTATACACAGACATGATCATCATACAATCAAACGATAAATATCGTATGGATCTGGTACAGCCTAAGACTTGAGCGCCTAGTTATGCAGGGGCGCCATTGGCGAGACAGAATCTACATCCAAAGCTCTGTAATTGACCCCCAGAACCAGTTTATTGACTCTGTGTGTATTCTACTGGAAGTAATGATATGAAGCACTGATGCTGCTTCAGGGGCGAGGCGATCGGTAATGCAAGGGGTTCCAATTAATATCTGCAGACTCCACCACGGAAATGCTAAGTAGTTTCCTAAACTACATGATACATGTGATATCACATATTTAGGGTTAAGATAATCTAGGCCCTATCTAGCTGGAGAACATGTATATAAGTGAGCATCATCCATCCCCTGACTACCTCGTTCTTCATAATCAAACACAATTAAAGCCTTCAAAGACTACCACCACCACTTACTCTTTACTCATTCCGTGACTATCAAAAACCATCTTTCACAATGAAGTTCTTCGCCATTACTCTTGCCTCCTTGGCTTCTTTCTCTTCCGTACTTGCCATGCCTAGCGCATCCACCAACGATGCGTCATGCGGCAAGTACATCTATGACACCTTTTACAACCCGAAGAGCACCGACGTGTACCACTGGAGGGAGGTCATGAACGATACCCCAGATGCTTGCGCAAACAGCAACGATGCATGTGGCAAATTTATGTATGGCTTCTTCAAAAACGACCAAAATAACCAGGACGTATGGAACTGGAAGCGGGTCATGGGTACATCGAACGCTTGCACGACCCCCGACGATGGGTCATGCTCCCACTTCCTCTATAAAACCTTTCAGAACAAGGATAGCACCGATATTTCAAACTGGAAGAGGATCATGGGAACAGACCCGAACCCTTGCAACTAAACAAGTTCGCCTTTCCAAGTGTTCCACTAAGTGTAAGGACCATATTATCAACCACTCCTTGTTTTCCATTGGAATGCGCTCACGATAACCAGTGAACTCATTCAATCCTGTCAACTTCGCCGGAAACTTTCGCTTGCGCTCATAATTGAGCGCCTGGTAATAGGTTCGTGGAGACTGAGCGAGGAATATGGGACAACGCTTGTTGAAAGCTCTGTGTACAATGGATCACATTAGCCTGAGCTGGCATGTAATTACAAGGAAATAATATTGCTTCTTTTTGTCCAGTTTTGCAAAGATCCACGTCGAGATGGGGTTGTAGCTTACCAGGCAAATTCTCAAGTAGGATAGTCATAGACCTTGTCGCTGTGGGTACTTGATCATTGACCCTTTTGATGTGATATGTTAGTTCGATATATATAGGAGCCAATTATGGAGTACAACCACAGGTTATCCTGTCCACATCGATAATCGTTTTTGCCTTTTCTCTTGATCTACAGACCACTTCTCGATGTGAGGGTTAGGTGTTTATTGGTGAGCTTTTAGGAATATTTTCTTGGTGAATGAGTTTAGCACGATTAATATGACTGACTAAAGGGACTCACCGCAGAATACCAGAGCATATATCTAAATTCTGTGAATAAAGTAATCACTAGATACATACTAGTAAGTCCGTTGCTGGTGTCGGTTTAGGAAAAGCCGACAAAGCAATGAAAAGAAAGACACGGAGAGATGTCAGGCAAGAGTGAGTAGTACTTTCCCAGAGCATATAGCTGTATTATAGGTCCGATTTTGATTGCCATTCGGGCTTGACCCCTAGTTAAGGTGAGAGAATTTGATAAGCCATATTTGACCTTCCTAATATGGATGATGTAGGGCAAATCTGTTATCATCACGTGGCGATAGACATCTCCCCGCATTCTTTTTTCTTTTTCTCTCTTTTTATACATTAATTTCTCACTGAAATAAGAAAACTTCGATGATTTGTTCAGCTTTATACATCAATTGTTGAATATCTTGGCACTACGCAACAAGCCCAGCCAATACATAAGATCTGCTGGGGGCGCAATCTCGTTCAACCTCAATATAGCCAACAATTGGCCTTCAGTCTACTGTTACCCCACGTCCCGAATAGAAGAAGTGAAATAGTCACACTGCTTCTCCAGTCAAGCTAGACACTAGGGTCTATATATCAAAGATGAAAGACCTCCTCCAAACACGCGCTGAAACAACCGCCCGTCTCTATGCGGACCCCCACAACCCACATCTTCACCTTGAACGAGGACTACTTCATGAGCAATTGGGATTTGCGGATTTAGCATCCGCGGACGCGTACCGCGCCCTTTCACTGCTGGAGTCCGTTGTCGACCCTGACGGATGTGAGTTTCATGCTCGACGGAAGATAGATACCCAAGTTCAAGGTGAAAAGGAGGGGGAGCAGGAGGAAGAAGATGACGACGACGACGATTCTTGTGTCGCTACTACACAAGACGAGTATGACGAGATTATCGGGACTGTATATGTCTTACTTGTTCGGAGCCTCGTGAAATGCCGGTGTTATAGAGATGCATATGAATTCTGCATGCGTGGACTGTCGCTACTTGGAGGTATGGAAAAGTGCGATGGTGAAGCCGTGGATACCCTCAAGGAGCAGCGGAGCGCAATCCAGAAAGTTTACATTTCTCGACGGCCCGTCTCGGTAAAGGAAATCGAAGCCGCGGATGTGGACATCAACCCTAGTACCCTGAATGCACAGGGCTTCGCGCGGAGGGTCCTGTATCCTTGGAACGAGCACGAGCCGGACAGAAAGGCCCCCGAGACACTCAATCTACTCAATGACAGACTTAAGGACATTGCCCCCAAATGTGAAGTGCGGGCTGTCGCCTTGCCTGCCCTCCATGGCACTACAGACGAAGGAACTTCATCAGACGGCGAGGTGTCCATCCAACTAGGCCTCTTCGCCAAAGAAGACATTGCCCCTGGCGAGATCATCCTCCGCGAAAACTCCCTGCTTACAGCCACCAACAGACTCCACGATGACCTCTGCGACGCCTGCAACGCCCCACTGCCCGACTTGTCAGCCGAGAACCCCCCCGTCGCCTGCACAGGCTGCGATGACACAATCTTCTGCAGTCAAACCTGCCACGACCAAGCACAGGAAATCTACCACGGCGCCCTCTGCGGCCTAATGGAGAATCTCGAATCTATCGGCAAAGACACTCCCGACCCCAAAGACAAAGCTGACTATCTGTACCTCCTCCTCCTGGGCCGGGCAATCGCTATGGCCACAACACAGGACGTGCATCCTCTCGACCTCCCCGAGATCAAATACATCTGGGGCGATTTCCATGACCTCGAAGGCTCATTTGAAGACTCTGTTACCTCCAACGACCCCACCGCAACGCTCCCCTTCTCATTTCACCTCAATATCCTCCAGCCCATGCGCATCATCGAGGAAATGGAACTGGATCCTTATGAGGTCCTCCCCCGCTATGATACCTGGGTGCTTAATACGCTCTATGCTAAATTCCGCGGCACCGCATCGGGACGTCTTTCTACCTGGGACGGTGGTCCGGAGCTCTGTGCTGTGCATCCGCTCTGGTGTCTTGCGAATCACTGCTGTGATCCGAATGTGAGGTGGGAGTGGGGTGGTGAGATTACGTTCCGGGCTAGGACGGAGTCTGAACGCCCTGATTGGAAGAAGACTAGTACAGGGGAGGAGAAGACGCCGTCAAGGGATGAGGGGATCAAGGCTGGTGAGGAGATTTTGAATCACTACTGTGACATTGGACTGGATGTTAAGGAGAGAAGGGAATGGGCTAGAGGTGCATTGGGTGGGTTGTGTTTGTGTGAAAGGTGTATGTGGGAGGCTGCTGAGTAGATTCGTTTTACATTGTCATTTCCTTGGGGGGGTTTACGAGAAAGGATAGATGGGTTGGATCGTTGAGTGATACCCTAGATATGATAGATGCTGTACCGAAAAAGCTATTGTTATAGTTTGCGTTTTATAGAAAGCTAGATTTGAAAGACCGCCATCAGGTGATTATGTGGATCGTTTGCAGTGCGTGCACCGACTTCTTTTTTTCGCTATTGTGAACCTAAACGCAGGGTAGTATAAATACACCTATGAAACCGAGCCTTTAACCTGTGCTAATTAAAAAAAATCATGACCTGCGGTCAACATGAATAATTTGAAATCTTTAAATGCGGCCTGTAAGCATTTCCATGTCATTTTTACAGCAACCCATCACCGTTTTATATTAGATATAGTCCGCGGCGTGGCCCCGACGAGGAGGAGTTCGGGACGGCGATCTACGCCGAGGGGGCGAGCGAGACGGTGATCGGGAATCCGAGTACCGGCGTCTTCTTTGATCACGTCCCGATCGTGCGGGGCTCGGGGAACGTGACACTGAATCATCGCGGGCGCGCCGAGCCGGGACTGCCTTGCGAGGTGAACGTGATGATGCGCGTTTAGAGCGAGGAGGAGACAAGGACTCGGAAGAGTAGCGCCTGCCTCGTGCCTCACGTCTAGGTGGAGTAACAGATCTCGACACTGACCTGGAGTAGCTTCGGTTCCTACGACTGTAACCCCGTTTCTCGGGTGTAGCAGACCGAGACGGTGAACGTCGCGCTGGATACGGGCTCACGCTTCGAGAGGCGCGCGAGTCGTAAGACTTAGCACGGGTCCGTCTGGGGGGAGTACGAGAGACCGACGACCTCCTGGGTGACCGGGATCGGCTGTAGGAAACAGAGCGCCGGCGACTTTTTGACACAGGGGACCTGGAGCGCGAAGGCGTGTAGCTGTAGCTCCGACGAGAAGATCCGGAGATGGATCGTGAGTAAGACCTGCCCCGACTGACCGAGCGCCGGCGGCCTCGGCCCGGCGAAGGCGAGCGGGAGTATGAATAGGAGCGCGAGCGTGAGCGTGAGTGACGTGGGCCAGTGCACGTGGAGCAAGATGAGCGAGAGCTGAAAGATTCAGCGTCTGACTCTGGAGTAGCGTCGCGAGCTGGGAGAGCTGGGACTGTCGGCTTGGGGAGGTTCTTTAGGTGTTCACGCATGTCCTCTGTCAGAATACCAAAACCGATACTTGTGAAATAGTTGATAGAAAAGCGGGTGTTGCGAGGGTTATCTGTTGGGAAAAGACCCTCAAAGCTCGGGCGAAGTATCTCATCTCTCATGTGCTCCTGCAGCTTCGGCAGACCCAGGTGCTCTCCTAGGTCTTGGAAGAGAATCTTGATGAAAATACGACTACTTGAAGTGGTTTCTTCTTCATTAAGGTGGATCACGGACATAACATGCCACCCGATGGCGTCTGTGCTGAGCATATGGCCGAAAAAGCGGGCAATATTGCGCAGCTTATTGGTCTCGAATCGATGGATCGTGTCGTAGTACTTGGCGAAAGCGGCCTCGAAAAGGTCACACCAAAGACGATTGATCTTGGAAAACCGCTCACCAATTAAACCGTAAAACTTTGAGTATGTTCTTTCTTGAGAACAACATTCAATAATCATCGACGGAAGTTCAGGCTCCAGGCCAGGTGGCAGTGAGATCTTCATCAATTTGTGACAGCATTCTTCGAAGTCAATGCTAGACATGATCGTCAAGTAGATTGTCCTCCGCAGGTTGACGAGGTCCGTATTACTTTGATCTTTGATATCCATCTGCCGCTCCTCTTCAGCTTCTTCATCGGAGCTCTCATCGGTCTCGTCCTCATCTTCTTCATCATCGCTACCTTCACCTAAGATCTCAGCCTTCAATTTTTTGTACGCGTCTTCGTGTTCCTCCCATTGCGCGTCGTATTTGAAAATGTTGAGGGTATCTTGAGTTTCAATCTCATCGTCAAGACCAACACGGTGTGTAATCTGATCTTCTTCCTCTACAAGATCAAGTTCATCCTTTATCGCCGGATTGTCTTTGTAACGGTCCTTACGGACTTGGAACAATACTTCGATCATGTACTGGACTCTCTTGTCGATATCGGCTTCGTGGAGAATATTTCT